AGGCAACTGTGCTGCTACATCACTGCTCTGTGACTCCAGGCAACTGTGCTGCTACATCACTGATCTGTGACTCCAGGCAACTGTGCTGCTACATCACTGATCTGTGACGCCAGGCAACTGTGCTGCTACATCACTGCTCTGTGACTCCAGACAACTGTGCTGCTACATCACTGATCTGTGACTCCAGGCAACTGTGCTGCTACATCACTGCTCTGTGACTCCAGGCAACTGTGCTGCTACATCACTGATCTGTGACTCCAGGCAACTGTGCTGCTACATCACTGATCTGTGACGCCAGGCAACTGTGCTGCTACATCACTGCTCTGTGACTCCAGACAACTGTGCTGCTACATCACTGATCTGTGACTCCAGGCAACTGTGCTGCTACATCACTGCTCTGTGACTCCAGGCAACTGTGCTGCTACATCACTGATCTGTGACTCCAGACAACTGTGCTGCTACATCACTGCTCTGTGACTCCAGGCAACTGTGCTGCTACATCACTGATCTGTGACTCCAGGCAACTGTGCTGCTACATCACTGCTCTGTGACTCCAGGCAACTGTGCTGCTACATCACTGATCTGTGACGCCAGACAACTGTGCTGCTACATCACTGATCTGTGACTCCAGGCAACTGTGCTGCTACATCACTGCTCTGTGACTCCAGGCAACTGTGCTGCTACATCACTGATCTGTGACGCCAGGCAACTGTGCTGCTACATCACTGATCTGTGACGCCAGGCAACTGTGCTGCTACATCACTGATCTGTGACTCCAGGCAACTGTGCTGCTACATCACTGCTCTGTGACTCCAGGCAACTGTGCTGCTACATCACTGCTCTCTAACGCTAGGCAACTGTACTGCTACATCACTGATCTGTGACTCCAGGCAACTTCAACACTATTTAGACAATTAACCAACACTATGAATAACTGACCAAGAGCCTGACTATGTCACAATGTAGTGGATGCTGAAACCAGGGCTGTTGTGTCTGGTGTCCGGCATGAACTATATGACCACGCCCATGTATGTTGACTGTATTGGTGTGTACAACGAAGGAAATATGACCTGAAAAGCTAAACATTGTGACAGTGCACAGCAGGCCCTTAGCCTTGGCTGGCAGCTGGTTTATGAGGGAAGTTCTCAGAGGCACACACAGCACTGCTCTTCTGATTCTGCAGCTGCTGCTGCATGCTTTGGTCACTTTGGAGTAAAAACAGGCTGGTAGAGGGAGGGATCATGCTACAAGGGCAACCACACATGGTCTCTACAATAGTGCCCAGCCTTTCTGATATGTAGAGAGGGATCATGCTACAAGGGCAACCACACATGGTCTCTTCAATAGTGCCCAGGCTTTCTGCTCTGTAGAGAGGGATCATGCTACAAGGGCAACCACACATGGTCTCTTCAATAGTGCCCAGCCTTTCTGCTCTGTAGAGAGGGATCATGCTACAAGGGCAACCACACATGGTCTCTTCAATAGTGCTCAGGCTTTTTGCTCTGTAGAGAGGGATCATGCTACAAGGGCAACCACACATGGTCTCTTCAATAGCGCCTAGCCTTTCTGCTCTGTAGAGAGGGATCATGCTACAAGGGCAACCACACATGGTCTCTACAATAGTGCCCAGCCTTTCTGCTCTAGAGAGAGGGATCATGCTACATGGACAACCACACATGGTCTCTACAATAGTGCCCAGGCTTTCTGCTCTGTAGAGAGGGATCATGCTACATGGTCTCTACAATAGTGCCCAGCCTTTCTGCTCTAGAGAGAGGGATCATGCTACATGGTCTCTACAATAGTGCCCAGCCTTTCTGCTCTAGAGAGAGGGATCATGCTACATGGTCTCTACAATAGTGCCCAGCCTTTCTGCTCTGTAGAGAGGGATCATGCTACATGGTCTCTACAATAGTGCCCAGCCTTTCTGCTCTGTAGAGAGGGATCATGCTACATGGTCTCTACAATAGTGCCCAGCCTTTCTGCTCTAGAGAGAGGGATCATGCCTACATGGTCTCTACAATAGTGCCCAGCCTTTCTGCTCTAGAGAGAGGGATCATGCTACATGGTCTCTACAATAGTGCCCAGCCTTTCTGCTCTAGAGAGAGGGATCATGCTACATGGTCTCTACAATAGTGCCCAGCCTTTCTGCTCTAGAGAGAGGGATCATGCTACATGGTCTCTACAATAGTGCCCAGGCTTTCTGCTCTGTAGAGAGGGATCATGCTACATGGTCTCTGCAATAGTGTCCAGCCTTTCTGCTCTAGAGAGAGGGATCATGCTACATGGTCTCTACAATAGTGGCCAGCCTTTCTGCTTTGGAGAAAAACACACCTTATTCCTGGCCTTAATTAGAATTATCATAGGCTGTGCCTGCCTACAGCACAATGTCGTTTGGATAGACAGAAAGGTGCTACCAAACAGCAGCATGTATGTTCAATCAAGTCTCCTTCTTTGTCTTCTTATTCATTCATGCAAAGATATAAATGGTTTGGGCCCACTGACAGCATGGCTGTGATATGTGTGCCTTGTGACTGACACAAGCGACTTCTGTATGCATTTGTTGACCTGGTTAGTCTTCCCAGGAATCATTTCAGTATCACAGAAATGTGCAGTTATAACTGTTGTTCCATGACAGTTGGGTGTCACTATTAGTTCAGTATCACAGAAATGTGCAGTTATAACTGTTGTCCCATGACAGTTGGGTGTCACTATTAGTTCAGTATCACAGAAATGTGCAGTTATAACTGTTGTTCCATGACAGTTGTTGGGTGTCACTATTAGTTCAGTATCACAGAAATGTGCAGTTATAACTGTTGTCCCATGACAGTTGTTGGGTGTCACTATTAGTTCAGTATCACAGAAATGTGCAGTTATAACTGTTGTCCCATGACAGTTGTTGGGTGTCACTATTAGTTCAGTATCACAGAAATGTGCAGTTATAACTGTTGTCCTATGACAGTTGTTGGGTGTCACTATTAGTTCAGTATCACAGAAATGTGCAGTTATAACTGTTGTCCCATGACAGTTGGGTGTCACTATTAGTTCAGTATCACAGAAATGTGCCGTTATAACTGTTGTTCCATGACAGTTGTTGGGTGTCACTATTAGTTCAGTATCACAGAAATGTGCAGTTATAACTGTTGTCCCATGACAGTTGGGTGTCACTATTAGTTCAGTATCACAGAAATGTGCAGTTATAACTGTTGTCCCATGACAGTTGGGTGTCACTATTAGTTCAGTATCACAGAAATGTGCAGTTTATAACTTTTGTCCCCATGACAGTTTGTTGGGTGTCACTATCAGTTCAGTATCACAGAAATGTGCAGTTATAACTGTTGTCCCATGACAGTTGGGTGTATTAGTTCAGTATCACAGAAATGTGCAGTTATAACTGTTGTTCCATGACAGTTGGGTGTCACTATTAGTTCAGTATCACAGAAATGTGCAGTTATAACTGTTGTTCCATGACAGTTGGGTGTCACTATTAGTTCAGTATCACAGAAATGTTCAGTTATAACTGTTGTTCCATGACAGTTGTTGGCTGTCACTAAAATGAACATATAACAAACCTGTGTGGCTCAGAGGTTAGGGAATGTGGTTAATAATTTCATGACTCTGGACTACTAGAGTTCCATTCCCATGGCAGGCAGTTTAAAAAAAACAACTGTTTTTTGATTTTTGAAACAGAATGAAAGTCACACTGTGAAAGTTGGGGGCCTCACCACATTCCCAGAGACAGCTGTGGTGCACTGTAGCCACCCTTGACTGTGAAGATGGCACAGACATAATAAATCATTGAAACCATGAAATCACTTTCACAGCTGTAATATTTAATAATACTAATATCATTGACTGTTATGTTGTCATAAAAATATAAAAGTTAACAGGCTACATAATCTTCAAACAACACAACATTATTTACATGCCAGTTTGGCCTCAAACAGAATCCTGCCAACTTGGACACTGGTAAACAAGATTGTGATATCAACAAGACATAACAGTAAGACTAATGAATTATCTCACACAGTTTATCTCTGTGTGTGACACCATTTTGCCAGTGGTGTCACTTGTTTAAAGTGTGAGCATAGTGTCAACCAGGCTTTATATCTATAAACCAGGTGTTGTAAATGTAAACAGAGTGTTATAGTTTTATTCTAGGTGTTTTAGTTATACACCAGATGTAATAGTTATAAACCAGGTGTTATCGTTATAAACCAGGTGTCACAGTTATACACCAGGTGTAATAGTTATAAACCATGTGTTATAGTTGTGCACCAGGTGTTATAGTTATATGCCAGGTGTAATAGTTATAAACCAGGTGTTATCGTTATAAACCAGTTGTCACAGTTATACACCAGGTGTTACAGTTATAAACTCTGACATAACGATGTTTCATAGAAGTTGCCAGTGACAACAGTCAGTTACCCAGCAACTGTAGGCTAACAACAGACTTGTTATTAACGACAGTTACTAAGAACTAGTGATCAGGAAAAGCAAGACATTCTTGTTGGTAACATCAAGCAGCTAGCAGACGTCACTCAAAGACACTTATTATCTAATGGCAAATGTGTTCTGTGGTTGGTTAGCTCTTCTACCTCTCCGGTGTTGAAGTTAACTGAAGCTGTCTGTAATTTTGCGATGGCTGCTCTTACAACACAGATGGTTCCGCTTGATTATTTTAAACTTATTTTATTCGTGTGTTTAGCTCTTTAGCTTTCTCACTGTCTGGCTCCCATGCGGACCCAGCCTTAAATGGGTACCAGGTAAAGTCATGGGAAGTAAAGGCAACCGATGTTATGTTGACCACATCAACCCATAAGTGCCGATTGGTCTATAAAATATAAGCCTAGTCCAGTATGTCTAATACGTCTGCAAGGCGATGACAAAGAGTCTCTCTCTCTCTCTCTCTCTCTCTCTCTCTCTCTCTCTCTCTCTCATACACACACTCTTCCTCTCTCCCATAGAATCAGCTATGGTTCTCCCGTCGACGCTCTAGGAGACTAATCTGTTGCCGCTCTGAATTGCTGTGGCGACTTCTTTAAGATGGACTGCCCTGGGGGTTTCGGCGGCCTAGGCACGGCTGTGTCGCTGGGAGAGTGAGCACTCTTGGGCGACAACGAAGAGGCGGTGTTACGCTGTCGGACAGTATTTGGCGACAGTGTTGACGGGGAGCTGTCTTCCGTGACAGTCTGCAGATGACTCATTGCTTTGACCAGCCCAGCCGTTGAGGATTTTGTGTAGGCGTTAGCGTTCTTGATGTCATTCTTGAGTCGGTTTCTGTGTGGAGTTTCAGGACTTGAATCAGCAGAGTCCGACATTGAGTTTAGTTTGACTGACAGCTTATCGCCGTGATCATCATCGCTGTTATCGTTAAGTTTTTTATCATCTACGTCGAACTCTAGTTCTTCCTCAGGGGCGCTGAGGAGGCGCGCTTTCCTGGCCTTGTCGCTCTCTAACATGACGCTGATGATGGCAAAGTCTCTGGCGTCACACAGGTCCAGGGGGCGCTCGCCGTCGTTGGTTTTGATGTCCTTGTTGGCGCCTTTACTCAGTAGGTACCTGTGTGGAGGGAGAAACAGACATTAGTGTGTCAACACTTGACTTTTCAGGAAACAATATGAACAATCATGTGTAAACACTTGACTTTTCAGGAAGCAATATGAACAATCATGTATAAATAATTGACTTTTCAGGACGCAATATGAACAATCATGTGTAAACAGACAGTCGTTTGTAAACACTTGACCCTCCATGAAACAATACGAACAGACAGCCGCATGAAAACGTTTTACTGTTCATGAAACGGATTTTTAATCAAGTTGCAACAGGTACTATCGGTATAAGAAATTTTCGATGGCTGCTGAGAAAGGGGACAGAGCATTGTTAGTTGCGTGTTTTTTTTTTTTTTTTTACACGACGTTGCAGAACCAACCCAAACATTTCCTTTTTAACTCTTGTAGGTTTTCTAGACAAATATACGATCCGTATTACAGAGCGCGTTCGCAACCCCTAAGCCACAAACGCCGACAGAATGCCACTAGTGTAAAGTTCTTGGTTTTTTCATTCTGAACGTAGAAAGGCTGTACATTATCACAGATCTTCTCAAATTAGTCCTGTATCTGTTACTACAGATATTTCCACTTGTTACAACATGCACCCGTTAATTTTATGTTATCTGAACTTGGTTATAGAAAATTACAGCAGATTTTCAAGCAGTGGAACAGACTGACACGCATCGCCATCACCATGGCAACTTAGAGGTTAGATAGTATTAAAAATCTAGGGCACAATGCAACAGGGCGAACTGAGGTAAACATTTTGAGAGCGCGCATAATTTCCTGGGAAAGCAGACACGGACGTGAGTCATGGAAGATTTCGCAATCACTGCTCTTGAACTTAAACTGTGACTGGCAGTTCCACAGAATATACTGGATGGAGATGAATAACAAGTCCGTAAAACATGAGCATGGATGAAGAGCGGTTCATAAGCAGAATCATATGTGGGAAACTGACACAATTGGTAATATATATATATATATATATATATTTAATTTATAGGCAACCATTTGTATCAACAGTTCTAATAATAAGAGAAGATGGCAATATATTGGACACATCAGGGCAAGCCGCCGAGACGGAATCACAAAACGCTCTGAAATGTGAAACAAATGGATTGTGGAAACGAGGACGGCCAAGAGGAACACGAGACAAAGACTGGGGATTTCCATGTGGGTTCTGGGGTCCCACTGGGGGGGGGGGGCACAAGAATAGACCCAGTGTGTCTCCAAAAAGTATGTCATATGAGTCGGACTAATTGAGGTTTCCTTCAAAGACGGGGTGCATCTGCCTGAGAGTCAAGGAACCAGCAGTATGCATAAAAATAAACCAGATCTGTAACACGGATATGCACGCAATACCCAGCTTCTGTAACACGACTAAAGTCGGAGATGAACGAACGACTAGAACTTTTCGCTGGAGTTTACAGCCTGTGAACTCGAACAAGAAGAAGGAGGATGAGGAGGAGGAGAAAACTGGTTAGAGTGACCGAAAGAGACAATCTGTGATGTGGAAAGGATTGCCAGGGTAGAATGAAATGGAGGACTCAACAATGGACCCTGTGTGGTGTATACAGGCGCAACAGTGGGAGGCTGATGATGATGATGATGACGACGATAAATCATCACAGTAGTTTAGACAGAACAGCAGTGCGAGCAGTGACTGCTAATAACGCATGGTCGAATGACTCTGGTTTCTGAACTATGTTACCATCATCATTAACGTCCCGTAACACTGCGTGTCTTTGGGTCACCAGCTGCTCTTGTCTGATCAGCTGCCTCCACGTTGACGGTCAGATGTGATGGACTTCATGACTGCTGGCCTAAGACTTGTCCAGTTCTGTTTCTTGGTCTACCTCTTCCCCTCTACTGAGCCATGTAGTCTTGATCTCGAGAGGCCGTTAGATCTGATTTCCTGTTCGTACCATTGCCATTTCCGTATTTTCACTGTGGTTTAAAGAGGTTTATAGTTGCCAATTTGATAAGTAATTATACGGCAAACCTCGTCATTTATGATGTGATCTCTGTATGATACGCTAGGAACTTTTCTGCAAGATCTCATTCCCAAAGCTTGTGTTTTCTTGTCTAGTTCAGCTGTTTAATGTCCACATTTCACCGCCTGATGTAAACGTACTAATAGCTAGTGCTCTGACCAGTCCTAGCTGCTGAAGTATGTTAGGTTTTAGCTGAAAAGCGAGAGCAGGTGTATGGGAGAAAGAGGAGAGATTATACTGAGAAGGGGAGGATAGGAAAAAAGAGCGAGATGGCAAGTGAAAGTTGCGTGAAATAGGATGGACCGAAAGGAGATGTAGTAGATAGGAGAAGATGGGAGGGTAGTGGTATATATCGGAAAATGGCGATCACTTGCCAGAGCGGATGCCAAAGATCCTCGGCCAGATTTCTGAAATATCAAATTGTGGAAGCCAAAAATCGCGTCCTGTAAATGTCAAAGCTGTAAATATCCAAAACTGTATGTAGATAAAAGAACGCTGCTCGGGGAGAAAAGTTATCAGCCTCCATGCTCCGATTTTGCATCCATCAGGTGCAAGGAAATAAGGAAACCAATCATAGAAACATTTGTTTCTCACGGCTTTCGAGGTCTTATCTCGATCACATGAGACTGTGCCATTACACCGACAATCACTGGCAGCAAGATTGTGTTTGCCCTGTGGCACAGATGGCTGCATAAATTATTTAGTCAGCTGTCTGTCGCCTCAAGTTATTTTCTCATTTGCACGTTAGAAGTCGGCACCTGTGGCTTACAAGTTGCGAGCTCGCTTCGTAATTCTGAATTACCCGGTTCGATTCCAACTGCAGACGATTCGAGAGCAGACCGGTTCGCGCTAATTCCTACAATGATATAGAGACTATCCTTTAGTAAGCGACGGTAAACTAAATCTGCTGACATGTCAAATCACAAGCAGCAACAAATAAAATGATTTGGCTAACTATGTAAGGTCATGAAAAATACTTAGAGCGAGAAACCATATCAGTAAAAACAATTGTATTGGGGTGAATTTCCACAGGTGTTTTCTAATGACGTGATAAGGCTAAACATAGATTAAGAGAAGAACGCGTGAAAACATGAGAACTCGCGAAAGCACGAAGTATGTGAAGATTGCTCAGGTGACAGCACGAGGGACCCAGAACGAGGGTTGAAAGATTAGACAAAGTTCTAAACAGTGTGTGATTCGCAGCCAGAGTGAGAGTTTGTGTTTAGAAGAGCGGGAATGCGACATAGTATCATTGCACAACGTGGAGGAAATTGAAATCTACGGGATGACCGCCTAGCCAGAATCCCATCAAGTCGACACCCAACCTGACGGTGGAGCTAAACAGCCAGTGTCAGAGATGCTTGCTCGTCGCCTGTGTGTGTGGCGTTCTGATACGTGAGGATTTCATGGCAACGAATGCGGATGATTGACAACAGCGGTTATGAACTTTATTATTGTTACCACCTGAATATTTGACCATGCCAGAGAATAGCAAACTGTGCATTGACCGGATTGTCTTCTGAGATTTAATAAATATTAACTGCGATTGTGTCTCCTCAACACCATCTGTGTGCGTCAACTCGTCATGTGTCTCCCCAACACCATCTGTGTGCGTCAACTCGTCATGTGTCTCCCCAACACCATCTGTGTGTGTCAACTCGTCATGTGTGTCCCCAACACCATCTGTGTGCGTCAACTCGTCATGTGTCTCCCCAACACCATCTGTGTGTTTCAACTCGTCATGTGTGTCCCCAACACCATCTGTGTGTGTCAACTCGTCATGTGTCTCCCCAACACCATCTGTGTGCGTTAACTCGTCATGTGTGTCCCCAACACCATCTGTGTGTGTCAACTCGTCATGTGTCTCCCAACACCATCTGTGTGTGTCAACTCGTCATGTGTCTCCCCAACACCATCTGTGTCCGTCAACTCGTCATGTGTCTCCCCAACACCATCTGTGTGCGTCAACTCGTCATGTGTCTCCCCAACACTATCTGTGTGCGTCAACTCGCCATGTGTCTCCCCAACACCATCTGTGTGCGTCAACTCGTCATGTGTGTCCCCAACACCATCTGTGTGCGTTAACTCGTCATGTGTCTCCCCAACACCATCTGTGTGCGTCAACTCGTCATGTGTGTCCCCAACACCATCTGTGTGCGTCAACTCGTCATGTGTCTCCCCACCACCATCTGTGTGTGTCAACTCGTCATGTGTCTCCCCAACACCATCTGTGTGTGTCAACTCGTCATGTGTCTCCCCAACACCATCTGTGTGTGTCAACTCGTCATGTGTGTCCCCAACACCATCTGTGTGTGTCAACTCGTCATGTGTCTCCCCAACACCATCTGTGTGTGTCAACTCGTCATGTGTCTCCCCAACACCATCTGTGTGTGTCAACTCGTCATGTGTCTCCCCAACACCATCTGTGTGCGTCAACTCGTCATGTGTCTCCCCAACACCATCTGTGTGTGTCAACTCGTCATGTGTCTCCCCAACACCATCTGTGTGTGTCAACTCGTCATGTGTCTCCCCAACACCATCTGTGTACGTCAACTCGTCATGTGTCTCCCCAACACCATCTGTGTACGTCAACTCGTCATGTGTCTCCTTAACACCATCTGTGTGTGTCAACTCGTCATGTGTCTCCCCAACACCATCTGTGTGTGTCAACTCGTCATGTGTCTCCCCAACACCATCTGTGTGTGTCAACTCGTCATGTGTCTCCCCAACACCATCTGTGTGTGTCAACTCGTCATGTTTCTCCCCAACACCATCTGTGTGTGTCAACTCGTCATGTGAGTCAGAAATACTATAACCACTAGTAAACAGCCAGAATACAGAGAAGACAACATGGCAACAATGAACACATTCAGAAACAAAATGCAAAGTAAAAAATGAAATGTTCAGTTCTGACTTCATTTGGAAAAATGAATACAGAAATTATTAATAATGTGAAAATTTTCAGATATTTGGACAAAATAGTGTCATTTCCGACGATTTCAAAGATACACAATTATCACACACACACACGCGCGCGCGCACACACACACACACACACACACACACACAGAAAAACAATTTGTTGTCTGGCTGACATAATTTAAATGGGGACGAGCTTAGACAATTCATTAAAGAGATGCCATGTTTTAAAAGAACTGCCGCACTGACATCAAGAGAACGGGTTCAAGACGAAGAAATTATAGGATGTGTGGAACTGAAACCAATGATTCCTTTTATCAAAGAAGAAGAAATTGGAGTGGCCACCTGGGAAGAATGCTCTGATGCCAGCTGCTACAGTAAGTCTTATTTTAGACAACAATTGTATAGTAGTCCATTTCTAAAAACCTTTTACATTGTTTTTGTGTAAGTAAAATATGCAGTCTGTCAATCAAGTGTTGTCTCCGCACTTTAAGTTTTCTGTAAAGGATAAACAACACCTGATTTCTCACTGGATCTATACTCTCTCAGACTACTGTTCGTCCATCTTTGATGATGTTATCCTAACATCTGTATCGATGTCTGCCTCTTGCTCGCTTGCCTTGAACTTATCCATCCAGTGTGGTTTTTATAATTGTGTTATGTCTATAAGTGTTTAAATCACCACTGATCACTGGCATCATGAGAGCTAATAGACTGAAATGGTTGGGGCATATTGAAAGAATGCCAGATGACAGAGAGGTATAAACTGTATACACGAGGGAGATGAATGGTCGTAGACCACGAGGAAGATCAAGAAGACGATGGAGAGATAATATCCAGTCAGACTTGCAAACAGTGTTACCAACTGAAAAGAGAAGGCAAACCAGAGAGATAAATGGGGGCGGGTAATAGCAGCAGCAATGAACCTCAATGGTTTGGAATGCTGAAGAAGAAGAAGAAGTTATGTCTATTAACGTAGCCGACATTTGTATCTTCTTATTTTGTGTGTGTGCGTGTTTTTTTTTTTCTAAATAATTTTTAAAGAAACTCTCTTTCTATTCCATGTCTCGTTAAAAGCTCTGTATTTATTTGTTTTTTATGAAATAGTATCTCATCTTCTCTGTATCCATGTCTTCGTGGCATATTCACATCTTACACACAACACTGTTTCCAACCTCTTTAACAAAAAGCTAATTTGTCTAGCCCTGGATGATCAAACAAGAGCTGATGAATAACCCTGTACATTTGGCGGTAAGCATGGACAATCGTTGAGTATACATAATGTGTTGTGTGGGACACAGTAAATCAACTGGGAAGTTGTTGCCTGCTAATGTTGCTTCCTGTTAGATCCGTGTTCTCTCGACTAAACCGTTAACTGGCTTCAGCTTCCTGTGGCTTTAGCTGAACTTCCGACAGGTAACCTGGCCACTTGTGCTCCAGCCCAAGCAGATCGCCCTTTTGGCTCGATTATTGCCACGTAACTTATCTGTCGTGATCACAGATAATATATGAAATACTCTACAGCCTTTTAGCTAAACTACTTCTAATCCACACAGCAGTTTCGCCGAGGTTAAAACGATACCGCGGTTTCAGCTTAGAAATTGTTAATTTGCTTACGTCGTTTCCCTTCCGCCTTTTCGTGAAGCTTTGTAATGGTTCCCAGTGCAGTGGAACCATGTCTTGGTTTTTGTTTTTACCAAGCGGGAGCGCTAACGACCACCCCCCCCCCCTTTTTTTCCAATAGGATGCTGGGGGTGGGGGATAAAGGCCACAGGTCCCTTACAGAATATCTTTCGGAAGAGGGATTAGACATATTTAAGTGCGTAAAAGTAATAATAATGTGCCAAGTGGTACACAAATATACTAATACGTTTGAAATAGAGCGAAGAACATCAACGCACGCTTGAAACAAGAGTTTCTGTACGCGCTTAAGGGGGCGGCCTAGTCCCGTACCAATTCTTGATTGTCGTGGAGAATTATCATAGAAGGGTATTCATCAATGTTCCCACTGTTCTGGGGCAAAAGATCCCGATTTCGCTGCCTTGCTGTAAACCACATTACAGTGTGGCCTGACCGCCCTTTAAAGGACGAACGTAGAAGAGAAAGTTTTTTTTTTTTTTAATCCTAAAGAAAAGGAGCTGAATGTAAAACTTTTACTAAAAGGCACTGAAGAAACAGACAGATAGTGCTACCCGTAAAGAAGCACCGCTAACTATACTTTTGACTGTATAAACAGAACCAACCGCAGTGCTAGCTGAACAAACAGAATAGACTAGTCCTGACCGAACAAACAGAATAGACTAGTCCTGACCGAACAAACAGAATAGACTAGTCCTGACCGAACAAACAGAATAGACTATAAACATGCACAGTAGATAATTTATGGTTCTAAATCAAAGGAGTAGGAGAAGACAGTCAAACGAAAAAACGAATGCCCGTGATCAGATCAGTGAAACAAGCCATATATCTTTCTTAACGATAGAACCTTTTTCTGACAGGTGGCTTTCATTTCTGGCTACAAACACAATCTGTCAGGTTTTTGTCTGACCTGTCGCAGTCAGTATCTGGAGAAGGACAGTCAACTCACAAAAATGTTTTCTTTGAATAAAGTTAAAGGAAACAGCACTCAGGTGGTGCTGACCACGCAACTATGTTGTGAACTGGAGAAATACGCGAGCGGCAACCATGTCTAGAAGTTAGTCTGTTGAGAAACAGGTTCTTGTCTGGGTTCTGAGGCCCTAGTGGGGGAGGGGGTGGGCGGCACTGCTACCTAACAAGCATGTCTCAAAAGGCGAACAATTATGGTTTTGCAAAACTCTGTTGTGTTCGGCCCTAAGGTAGATATTTCGCACTCTGTAAACAACAACATAGCGCGCCAACCACTTTAAAGAGAAATTGTTTAGAGTAAACACAGAAAAGTGAAAGAAACTAATTCACAAAGCCATTCAGGTAAAATAACGACAAGGCTGTCAGGCTCATGATTTAGAACTGTCGTTGTCTGTCGGTAACAGCACGCGCATGATATATGTCATGGTTGCGCGCCATCTGTGAGCAGCTCGTGTCCTATGTTGTTTTGTCTCGTTCGCGCGAATGTCTTCCCCTTACAATCTTGTCTGGTTTGTATTATACAATAATTCTACACCTTCTTCTTCTCCGTCATCTCCTCCTCTTCTTTTTCATTCTTCTCATTCTCCGTTTTCTATCTTTTCGGTTTATTTATTATATTTACCACTACCTCTGGGGCTGCAAGATTTCGTACGGGATTCAAGGGAAAGTCCAATATGGGGGGGGGGGGGGGGGGGTGGATGTTATGATTAGTGTAAGTCAGTGTTCATTTCACATCCCAACACCCCTATACCATTGACTTTCCGGGAATTACCTACAAAATCTCGGAGCCCCTGAGATAGGTGAAATAAAATAAAAGAACCCCTTGTCTGCTCCTTCTTTGCTCTGTTTCCTTCTCCACCTATTCTCTCATCAATCATAATTATTATTCCTTTGTTTTGGAATAATCGTCTCCTCTTCCTCCTCCCCTCACCCCTCCTCTTCCTCGCATGCGTCATTTTCCTCCTCCGTCTCCTCACAACAGCAAAAATACGATACAAACAAACAGCCAAAATGAAACATCAAAAACGATTGTACATAGAGCGAGAATGATACACGAAAAACGGTTGTAAGTAGAGCCAGAATGAAACAAGAACTGAAGTACACCCACTACAAACAATCGACACACAACTTCACAAACAGGCCACCTGGCAATATCTGCTTCACCGTTAGCGCAAGCAGCATGTAGTGGCGTCCAGGTGTCCGAGTCCTTCCTGTTGACGTCTGCACCATGCTGTACCAGCAGTTTGACTGCGGCCAAGTTTCCCTCCAGAACTGCGTTGTGTATTGGGGTCAAACCTGCCAAAGTAGAACATCGTGTGATGGCAATAGACATTGGAGACGCCTTGACATGTTATTCAGGCGAGTTAGAAGTGTCTGTACAAATTTATTTTGGAAAGACAGATTGAGAGATTCCTACTCTTCATCAAACAGAATAGAAGTAGCAGACGGAAAGATCTTTGTTTTTAAAGTGTTAAGATATTGGTTAACAGAGTGCATTGTTTTACCCTAATGTAAATTATTTATGCAAGGATTTCTCGATATGTTCATGTTAAAAAACAAAACAAAAAAAAAAAAAAAAAAAAAAAATAAAAAAAAATAATGTGAAACATTTTTTTTTTAAATACATCGTATGTGAATAATAAACACATGAGGAATGTACAAAAATGGTCGTTATTTTCATCTGCCATTTGTCCTTGCCATCTCATTGTCCTTTTAATATATCGCTTGAAATTGTTTAAACATTATTTGTGTCTGACTGCTTGTCCTCAGCTAGAATAACAAATGTCAAGTGTACGAAACACACTTTCCAAGTTGGCCAACAGTAACTATTCGTTCGGATACTTGGCATGTTGTGCAACACAATCCTGGCAACCAGTATTTTACTCGAAGTTTCAGCTCCACCTTTGTCTCCATCAATTATTTCATTACCAACAAACGAGCAGCTCTAGGTTGTTGCAGGTCTCTCCTGGTGATTTATGTCTCTCAAGCCAGGGTGTTCATTCCCTTCCGAATGTTTGGTCTCTGTCTCAACTGCACGGGCATTTGGTGCCCCCCCCCCCCCCCCCCCCCCCAATCACAAAACCTCATCACAAAACCTCCAGAAATAGTGTAACGACTAAGGCCCCGTTCTATTTCTCGATGTTTAAATTCTTTATAATTGATGATTTATTTATACATGTAATAATATTTCCAAAATATATTATTATAACTTACATATCAACAGAGTATTTATTATTAATAATATTATTATTGTAAACTAATGAATAGCTTTATTCACTAATTTCAGTCTTCAGTTCGTGAATCCCGTATTGTTTTCTTTGTGTCATCGCCCCTGCTCCATTGTATTGCCATCCAACATTTATTTATCGCGACTCTACAGTTTGTCTTGTGTTGTGTCCAATATTTTATTTATGTTTTCATGATTTTCTTCATCAGCAACAAACTTTTGCCGAAGCTGAAGCTATGGTACAGCATTGCCTCCATGAGTTGTGAGAATTATATTGTTGTTGGTAGATTCTTCTTGGCAGTTGTCTAAATATTGTTATTTTTCAGATCTCGCGACGTGTAGCCATCATTACAAACCTCTCAGGGAGTCTAGCTTCTTGTGTTTTTCTTATCTTTATTGTTCTAGGAGAATGTGTCGTATTTCATAAACAAAAATAATTAAACCGAAGTTCTGGAGACACATGAAATATCATGAAATCAATTGAAACAATAAGGAGACAAGTATGAAATGTTTTAATCATATTAACGAATGAAACACTCATAAAAACAATATTGGTGTGGGAAATCCAAGGCAAGAAGTACATAGCATTACACAGAGGCCCAGTAAAATGTTTTCCTTTTAATCATTTACTGCTGCGCGTGACTGATTTGGTGTTTCTTTCGGCTGTCTTGCTATTTCTCTCCAAAATCTTGCTGTTTCTCGAGAATTTCTTTCTGTTTCTCTTGAACCTCTTTCTGTTTCTCTCGAACACCTCGCTGTTTCTCTCGAACGCCTCGCTGTTTCTCTCGAAAGATTTGCTGTTTCTTGTGAATGTCCTGCTGTTTCTCTCAAACGCCTCGCTGTTTCTCTCGAAAGATTTGCTGTTTCTTGTGAATGTCCTGCTGTTTCTCTCGAACGCCTCACTGTTTCTGTCGGAAGATTTCCTGTTTCTTGTGAATGTCCGGCTGTTTCTCTCGAACGCCTTGCTGTTTATTTCCAATGTCTTGCTGTTTCCTCGTGAATGTTTTGCTGTTTCTCTCGAATCTTTTGCTGTTTGTCTCCAATCTCTTAGTTTCGCTCGACTGATTTGATGTTCTCTCGACTGTCTCACGGTTTCTCTCGAATCTCTGACTGTTGGGCTCGCCTGTCGTGTTGTTTCTCTGGACTTACCTCCATGTTCTTGTCTATAGTGAACGGAGACGGCAGGATAAGCCAGTAAACAAAAACAAAAACAACAAAAAATGATAAGAGGTGACACTGAACCTGCAGCACAGGTACATCTATCTTCCTGCAGTGCTAGCCTGTCTGTTTGATCGTCTGTTTACCAGATACATGCTATAGATCAGTGAAATAGAAACACCAGCAGGGCACGACTGAAATAATCTATTTCAGGGCACGGCTGAAATAATTTATTTCAGGGCACAGCTGAAATAATCTATTTCAGGGCACAGCTGAAATAATCTATTTCATGGCACGGCTGAAATAATCTATTTCAGGGCACGACTGAAATAGTCTATTTCAGGGCACGACTGAAATAATCTATTTCAAGAGGTGAGGACATGCCTTAGTATGGCTGACATCTACATGTCCATGTGGACTGTGTGAGAAAATAAAATCTCCGGAAACAAAATGCCTAATTATAGAACTACTGGCAATACAAACAGCACTGAGCTAAAGTGAGTAGTGGGCTCAGTCTCCTCCAGCGGTAGTCTCCTCCAGTAGGTCTCCAGGTAAGTGAGTGCAAGTTGTTCCATCAAAACTCTCTCTCTTGCTCTCTCTTTATCTCTCTGTGTTTTTCTCTTTATCATTCTTCCCCTCTCTCTCTCTCTCTCCCTCCCTCCCTCTCTCTCTATTCCCATTTTCTATTTTTATCTCTCTTTTCATCTCTGTCTTTCATTCCCCTTCATTCTCTCTCTTTCCCTCTGTCTCTGTCTCTCCTATTCTCTCTGTATTCATATTTAAATGTGAATGCTGCACATTAACGACCCAAGCGCTGTATCCCAGAAACCAACACAATACAACAAAACGAACATTATCATTAGCCAACACAATCAGAAGTTAGTTGCATAACCTTTACAGAAATTGGGCAAATTATCCTAGCATTTATTGCCTAATGTGTGGCTTTACTGGGCAATTGTAAACAATTTTATACTGGGCCATTTTACACAATTAACAGTTCGTTGTATACCCGTTACAATAATTAGCAAACTTACTTGCTGTGAGGTTTATTGGGTAAGTTTCTTTTAGTAGTTTGTCTTTGCTACCTGAACGGTATGAGGATCACTTTGTTGTCTAAATCAACGCAATGTGGTCTTCTGCACAATCTACCGTGGCTGGCTTCCAATCCTGGGATGTTTCAATGTCAACTTTCTGCATCTTGGTATGTGCTACGTAGATGCAGGTTTCACAGACTCGGATATTCCATCTACCCATAGTTTGCGTGGTCGACTTCTGGATCTGCTTCCATTTTGTCAAAGTGACACGGCTCTCTGTGGTGACCTTTCTGGTGCCGGTTATTAAATATATAAACGCGTGCCTATTCAGACAACATGGCAAATCAGATCTGAAATTAGTCACCGCCATTCAAGGAAGCAAAGAAGGTGAACTCCCGGTGATTCAAGCAGCCATCGTTCATGTGAGAATTCTTCTTTTTCTTCTCATTCTTCTTGCGTTCACTGGCTGTCAACTCGGTGGAAAGTTCTTGTTGTTCGTCCACCTCTAGACTCTCATTCTGTTCCCGAACCTGAGTTGCGCGAAATCGAAAACGAGGGTCAACCGTTTACAAGAACGACACAGTTATTATGTATGGACACTTTTCAGTTAGGATGTAATCTGCAGTCCAATGTGTGGGTGGGGGGTATCATAATTGTATTGACTATAGAAGAGTAGCCTATCATGTATGACGTAAGTGGCGACCTAGGAGGACTGTGCCGTTAAACCAAATCACATAACATGTAAACATTATGTGTACAGAAACTGTTCACAAGTTTAAAGACATGTAAACAAGTTTAAAGACATGTAAACAAGTTTAAAGACATGTAAACAAGTTTAGAGACAGAGAAATAAACAGGAAGCTGACTAAAACAGGAGGACCTGTGCTTAACTGTGGAACAAAAGGCAGCGGCAGAAGAAAACAATTCAAAGGTCACCCTCCCACCCCCTTCTCTCCCCCCCCCCCCCCATGCAGTTTTAATTCCCCTTGTCAGAACGAATTATCTCTAGTTTATACTTCCCGTCTGTGCTGTGTCCGCCTTTAAGCTGGAAAGTCGATGGAAAGCTCAGGTGATATTCGGCAAGGTAGCAAAATGTATCAGTATAGATCTACCAGGTCTGGTTTCAACTTGATGTACTACGGCATTACAGAGATATGCTAAATAAATGTTGGTTTTACATTTCGCATACAATCAGTTCACTCCTAAATGGTGAAAAACGCCTTCATGGTGTGTATGTGCTGTCTCAATGTGTACAGGCCACTCCCATGTTTGTATGTGCTGTCTCAATGACGTACAGGCTACAACACAAGGGACTCCCATGTTTGTATGTCCTGTCTCAATGACGTACAGGCTACAACACAAGAGACTCCCATGTTTGTATGTGCTGTCTTAGTGAAGTGTATGCTCCTACACAAAAGAGTCCCCATGTTTGTGTGTACTGCCTCAATGACGTACAGGCTACTATAAGAGACTCCCATGTTTGTATGTACTGCCTCAATGACGTACAGGCTACTATAAGAGACTCCCATGTTTGTATGTACTGCCTCAATGACGTACAGGCTACTATAAGAGACTCCCATGTTTGTATGTCCTGTCTTAGTGACGTGTAGGCTACAACACAAGAGACTCATATGTATGTGCTGTCTTAATAGCGTGCAGGCTAAAACACAAGAGACACCCATGTTTATATGTGCTGTCTCGATAACGTTCAGCTACAACACAAGAAACTTCCTTGTTTGTATGTACTTTCTCAATGACGTGCAGGCTACAACACAAGAGACTCCCATGTTTGCATGTGCTGTCTAAATGACGTGCAGGCTACAGCACAAGAGACTCATATGTTTGTATGTACTGTCTCAATGACGTGCAGGCTAGATCACAGAAGACTTCTATGTTTGTATGTGCTGTCTCAATGACGTGCAGGTTATAGCGCAAGAAACTCCTATGTTTGTATGTGCTGTCTCAATGACGTGCAGGCTACACCACAAGAGACTCCTATGTTTGTATGTACTGTCTCAGTGACGTGCAGGCTAGATCACAGGAGAATTCTATGTTTGTATGTGCTGTCTCAATGACGTGCAGGTTATAGCGCAAGAAACTCCTATGTTTGTATGTGCTGTCTCAATGACGTGCAGGCTACAACACAAGAGACTCCTATGATTGTATGTGCTGTCTCAATGACGTGCAGGCTACAACACAAGAGACTTCCATGTTTGTATTTGTTGTCTCAATGACGTACAGGCTACAACACAAGAGACTCCTGTGTTTGTATGTACTGTCTCAATAACGTACACACTACAACAACAAAACTAAGACAGCAGAAATTAACCATGAATCAGGAATAGCTACAGGTCAGACTTCCCTCTCTGTGTGCTGCTGACCACTCCATGTGGCTCCGCTAAAATCCTTGCTGTCTCGAGATACTTGCTATTAGGACACCTCTCTCTCTCTCTCTCTCTCTCTCTCTCTCTCTCTCTCTCTCTCTCTCTCTCTCTCTCTCTCTCTCTCTACCACCCGCAGACACTTTAGAGTCAACAATAATAAAAAACAATTGTCCTCCACACTGACCCGCTTTGAGCATCAGGGCCCACTTAGGTTGGCCTAGTTGTTGCCACTACGGGTGCCTAATCATAACCCCATTGGACAGCAAGCTGTTTATTTAGAATGTGCCCTGTTGGCCTGCCACACAGAATGTGCCCTGTTAGCCTGCCACACAGAATGTGCCCTGTTAGTTTGCCACACATAATGTGCCCTGTTAGCCTGCCACACAGAATGTGCCCTGTTAGCCTGCCACACAGAATGTGCCCTGTTGGCCTGCCACGGGATGTGCCCTGTTGGCCTGCCACGGGATGTGCCCTGTTGGCCTGCCACGGGATGTGCCCTGTTGGCCTGCCACACAGAATGTGCCCTGTTAGCCTGCCACCCAGAATGTGCTCTGTTAGCCTGCCACACAGAATGCGCCCTGTTGGCCTGCCACGGGATGTGCCCTGTTGGCCTGCCACGGGATGTGCCCTGTTGGCCTGCCACACAGAATGTGCCCTGTTAGCCTGCCACCCAGGATGTGCCCTGTTAGCCTGCCACCCAGGGTGTGCCCTGTTAGCCTGCCACCCAGGATGTGCCCTGTTAGCCTGCCACCCAGGATGTGCCCTGTTAGCCTGCCACCCAGGGTGTGCCCTGTTAGCCTGCCACCCAGGATACGACCCTCAACGCTGCAGGGGTGGTCAAAGCTTCTGCAGCAGCTCGGGGGTAGGAAACACCAATAGAAATACTTGCTTTTTTCGGTCAGCTCATAATTACAATAAAAAGTGTCTTCAATGTCCGTCACAAACAGATATGCTCGATTTGTCAGCTCATATTTACATGTCAATAAAATATGTGTTTAATGTTGGCTTGTTTACAGAAATGACGATCACGTCAGGTCGTTCATTCCCTCTTACTTTAAAGTGTCTCCTTCCCGGTCCTATGATATGCTCGCCTGCGACTCTCATGTCGAAAATGTTAAAAAGTTTTGGGGATAAAGGTGAACTTTGGAACAGACCGGGTTGTATGGTTATTGGGTCAGGTGACCAACTACTTCATTTAAACACCACTTTCCGCTTGATGAGAGCCCAAGATATCAAGTTAATTAGGAATCGGCTGAGACTACGACCAAGAAGACGACCAATCAAGAAGTCACATGGTAACTTGCCTTCCGCATCCTTGCAACAGCAAGTTTCTATCCGTGAGTGGAATCTCTTATAAACATCACATGCAAAGATCGCTGCACTCACCTAGGACTCTCTCTTTAAGCGATATTCTCCCAGGATGGGTAGAAGGAGGCCTAACTGCTCAAGATGGCATGATATTCTTTTGGCAACTATTTTTTCCAATAGTGTATGACACTGAGGTCCGACAACTTTAGACAGAGCATGCCGACTCCTCGAATGAGCCCAGTACTGGAGCACCAGGTGTCAGCGCTGCTCATTTGGAAGCTCCCTTGAATGGGAGCCAATGCTCACGAGTTAGCAAATCTTTCATTGAAGGCTGACCAGCATGCATGTGTTTGTTATGTGGGGGTTTGTAAGAGAGAACCAAGCGCGAAATAATGCCATGTTTGTGCATACATAAAGATCATGTCATAAACCTCAAAATTATGTGGCAACCACGTGGCTAGTATTGAATTTCCGTTGTTGAATTGTAGACTGTAAGTTGAGATAATGTTATTTATGTTTTTATTAGAAAGGATTAATAGTGTATGCTTTACTTTACGAAGCGAAGCTCAGACAGGCGGGCAGATAGGGCACTGCTCTTCTGATCCGGCAGCAACTTCAGCATGCTTTTTTCAAAGGCAATTATGTTTTCTTACCTCTGGAGTAAACAAGGCAGGCCGTGAAATGATGACCTTTTTTAATGCTCGTGGGTCTTGCTAGTCACAATCGCCTTCGCCATGGGCTGTGAGTTCCATGCCTCCTCACAGTGCAGTATAACACTATCATCTGGACAGATAGAAAGGTACCAAACCAACAACAGCACTGTTTGCGTCTGGGATATTTAAAATAAAATGATTATTAATTACCACAATTCTAAGACAGGATACTGACCATTGCTGTCCAGACCATTGATGTCCAGCTGGACACTGGCACGTCGGAGCATGGAGTGACAGGCTTGGATGTCGTTGCCCTTGATATTGTCCAAGAAGATCAGCTCATCGGGAAACCGGACCCTGGGTTTGCTCTTCTCCTGCTTGGCGAGCAGACTGGCCCGGCGACTCATGTCTACTGGACACTAGCACACTGACCGCAGACAATCAGCAGGGCACTGGACACCTGCAAGCAGACCTGACGTAATCACCAGCGCTGGACACTATCTTGAAATCTGCAAACATAGATTTGTTATGTTAAGCATTAATGCCTTATTGGTCGTCATCAAAAATATCATCAGTTCTTACTTTTGTCGTTAAACACGTGGGAGAAATAATTTCTGATCCACTGCTTGATGGACAGCATTGGCTACTGTCCTTCCGTTTCAATGTAGAAGATTCTTAATGTCATCCATCCATCTTCTCCTAGGGCGCCTCTCGATTTCACATCAGATCTTGTCATGTGTAACGTCCGCGATGGTAGTTGTTCTGGCTGCCTTCTAACTGGATGAGCAAACCATTTAATTGTATCAATGGATTTGGCACATGACCTTGTTCCCACGTCCGGTCTGACAGTATCGTTTCTTATGTTGTCTCAGACAGTTAAGCTGGCCTCTCTCCCCATGCATCTCATTCGACGGGTATTCATGTGACCTAGTTAAGCCTTCAATAATGTCCAAGCTAGGCCCCGCTAACACAGTGTTGCTTGCTTGTGTGTTGTACCCCACCAGGACATCACACAAGCGATAAACACCCGGTGACACAAAGTTCCACCATGCGGATGAGGATCACCGTAGAGAGGTCCCAGAAACCCTTTTCAGCCGTTATGGTCACATATGTGGCCCAGCTATTTTCAGAGCCCCCGCAAAAACCAGTGTTGGTATGAATATGGTGTCTATACAGCACAGTGTTGGTAAGAATATGGTGTCTATACAGCACAGTGTTGGTATGAATATGGTGACTATACAGCACAGTGTTGGTATGAATATGGTGACTATACGTCTTATTGTTGATCATGTATAATCAACAAGTAAAATGACCACGTGTTTTCGGGGCACATTAAAAAAAGTACATCTGTAATCAAAACATAACTTCTCCAGGCTTTCATGGTCACCACGTCTATCTGATGGATCAGAAGTCTCTCGTAACAAACTGTAGTTACACAATCCTAATGTCACCGATTATCATCATTTTGTATCATGCCGATAACCAGGAGGGGGGGGGGGGTGTGTCATGATTCACCATCTCACACGATCACCAGTCTTGGAAGCGGTCTGTCACCCTGCCCTCAGTACGCCACAGAGCCAGAGCATGGAGATATGTGTCTTCTGCTTTCCTCTTGCTCTCTTCCCATCCTGTTTTCCGGTTATCACTCAGTGTTAAAAGTAATGTTTTCCGATGTTATAGCAAGCAAGTGTGACTATTTATGTTTAAATGGTCAGAACAATTACAGGTTGTATCTGCGTTATGAACCGACAACTGAAAGTCCAATCAATGGCATAAATGTAGCTCAAATTGTGTGCAACAGGCGGAGGTGTCTGACACTATTTTTGCGTATATTAGTCTCGCTCTCTTTGTTTTCTTAGTCAAACTCACATCTACACCCTCTCTCTCCCTCTCTCTCTCTCTCTATCTCCGGCCCTCACCCTCTCTCACCGTCCCTCAGCGCGCGCGCACACACACACATATGAACAAACATATACGCACATGTTTATGAAGCAAACAATCTCTAGGCGAAGTTTCAGCTACAAATGTTGTGTTTTTTGTTTTCAAGTAACTCTCTCACAATTCTTTTCACGTTGACGCAAATATATGAAATGTGAGCCACATAAGTCGGGTACGATGTCTTAATTGTGTGAACTTTAGAGTGAAAATTAAAATTGCAAAACTCCACGAGTAAAATATACAACACTATAATAAAAACCACGCCCATAAAATGCAAACCTGGGATGTGTTACAGAAGTGGGGATCCTGTAAGGACCTTAACTTGGGGCTAGAGCCAGGTGTGATTTACAGGTATGGTAAACAGTAGGCCAGTCAGAGGGAACAGTCAGAACTCCCAATAAACCCACGGAGTCGAGACACACAATAACCGTTGTATTTTATGTGATCTCCGGCGAGGTTGTCTGGGCCAACGTGCATGGCTTACGCAAATGAGGTTTTTACGGGTTTCTGTGTCGCACTTTTACAGCACACTTAAAGAGTCCTTGTCTGTTGGGTTAGGCTATAACAGAAAATCACTTTCATCCAACAACTATACCCTGGTAAGTAACTTGGCCTCAATGCAAGGATAATCTCAGACCAGTGGTCAACTTCTGTGCCATCCGTGATGCTTCTTCTTCTCCTTTCTTTATTTTGTCTGTCTGTCTGTCTGCCTGCCTGCCTGCCTGCCTGCCTTCTTTCTTTCTTTCTTTCTTTCTTTCTTTCTTTCTTTCTTTCTTTCTTTCTTTCTTTCTTTCTTTCTTTCTTTCTTTCTTTCTTTCTTTCTTTCTTTCTTTCTTTCTTTCTTTCTTTCTTTCTTTCTTTCTTTCTTTCTTTCTTTTTCTTTCTTTCTTTCTTTTTCTTTCTTTCTTTTTTCTTTTCTTTCTTTCTTTCTTTCTTTCTTTCTTTCTTTTTTCTTTCTTTCTTTTTTCTTTCTTTTTCTTTCTTTCTTTCTTTCTTTCTTTCTTTTTCTTTCTTTCTTTCTTTCTTTCTTTCTTTCTTTCTTTCTTTCTTTTTTCTTTCTTTCTTTCTTTTCTTTCTTTCTTTCTTTCTTTCTTTCTTTCTTTCTTTCTTTCTTTCTTTCTTTTTTCTTCTTCTTCTTCTGTTAGACATAATAAAGGCGACTGACACGTTGTACTGTGGTTTACATGTAGGCTGCGATATCTGCGTCTCTCAGCCAAGACATCTGAATTTAGCAAGCCCCTTTTCAGCCATCTATTGTCACGGTGACAAAACAGAAAGTATACTAACACGCTGACAGGACAGTAAGTATACCAACACGGTGACAGGAGAGTAAGTATACCAACACGGTGACAAAACAGTAAGTATACCAACACGGTGACAGGACAGTAAGTATACCAACACGCTGACAGGACAGTAAGTATACCAACACGCTGACAGGACAGTAAGTATACCAACACGGTGACAGGACAGTAAGTATACCAACACGGTGACAGGACAGTAAGTATACCAACACGGTGACAGGACAGTAAGTATGCCAACACGCTGACAGGACAGTAAGTATACCAACACGCTGACAGGACAGTAAGTATGCCAACACGGTGACAGGACAGTAAGTATACCAAAACGCTGACAGGACAGTAAGTATACCAACACGCTGACAGGACAGTAAGTATACCAACACGGTGACAGGACAGTAAGTATACTAACACGCTGACGGGACAGTAAGTATACCAACACGGTGACAGGACAGTAAGTAAGTATACCAACACGGTGACAGGACAGTAAGTAAACCAACACGGTGACAGGACAGGAAGTATAACCAACACGCTGACGGGACAGTAAGTATACCAACACGCTGACGGGACAGACAGGACAGGACAGTAAGTATACCAACACACTGACAGGACAGTAAGTATACCAACACGGTGACAGGACAGTAAGTATACCAACACGCTGACAGGACAGTAAGTATACCAATACGCTGACAGGACAGTAAGTATACCAACACGGTGACAGGAAGTAAGTATACCAACACGCTGACAGGACAGTAAGTATACCAACACGCTGACAGGACAGTAGTTATACCAACACACTGACAGGACAGTAAGTATACCAACACGCTGACAGGACAGTAAGAGTACCAACACGGTGACAGGACAGTAAGTATACCAACACGGTGACAGGACACTAAGTATACAAACACGCTGACAGGACAGTAAGTATACCAAAACGGTAACAGGACAGTAAGTATACCAACACGGTGACAGGACAGTAAGTATACAAACAGGGTGACAGGACAGTAAGTATACCAACACGCTGACAGGACAGTAAGTATACCAACACGGTGACAGGACAGTAGGTATACCAACACGGTGACAGGACAGTAAGTATATCAACACGGTGACAGGACAGTAAGTATACCAACACGCTGACAGGACAGTAATTATACCAACACGGTGACAGGACAGTAAGTATATCAACACGGTGACAGGACAGTAAGTATACCAACACGCTGACAGGACAGTAAGTATACCAACACGATGACAGGACAGTAAGTATACCAACACGCTGACAGGACAGTAAGTATACCAACACGATGACAGGACAGTAAGTAAACCAACACAGTGGGCCGAGGTGTGTCACGTGGTGCAGCAGCCAGACACACTTCTGCGGTTCAAAAGTGTGTGGGTTCAAATACGAACGCTGCTGAACTTTTTTTGCTCCATAAAATGACCGTGGCTCCAAGCCTTAAATAGGTACCAGGTTAGGACCTGGAAAGTAAAGGTGGCCGGTGTGATGTTGACTACATCACTAACCAAGTGCCTTGTGGTCTATAAAGTATACGCCTAGCCCTATATGCCCAGTCCACCTGAAAGTTCGGAAAAGGGCCCCTAATTTTTTACTATAAGCCAAATGTATGAGAAAGTCCTTGTTTATGTCCACACAGTCAATCAGACCCGCGACAGTAAGCTGTACCCCCAAGCCACGGTGTTCGGTGTTTGTGTCTTCGCCAAGAGGGTTTCCATGGTGACAGCCTACAGGTTCTCTGATATAACAGTATAGGTGGCTTGAACAGCGTTTCTGGGATGTTCTCGTGTTTGATTTTTATCCCCGAGGTGTTTATCCAACAGTCAGCAATCTTGTAGGTTAACAATGACCAACCAACAAACCAATGAAACAAACAGCCAACCAACCATCGAACCATCAATTATCCAGCAATCTGATCGACATCATCAAATCTGTCTGGTGTGCTACCAATCATTTCAGACACAGACGTTCCTTCACGCCACAGCGATGCTAAACTAAAAGCTTCTCTTCCGGCCCTGATACCGCTCTTACGTATTCAAAAAATATTGTCCCAAAATGCTCCGTTATTTACCTGAGGCCGCTGTTTAACTATTCTGGACGGCTTAGCAAACGCCTGAACATATTACATATCTCTAAACCTAAGACAGACCTTTACAAAACAAGTTTAGCGTATTCGGCAGCTTAGTTGGGGGGGGGGGGGGGGGGGGGCAGCAAATCAAAAATACCACTAGTCCTTACACATACAATCAGAAACTGCTCGAATATTATCTGAGCCCCATGCCCCCCCCCCCCCTCCTAATAGAAAAGTATATTTTTGAAACAGAACACACTTTATATACATTTATTACAACAACTACGGTTTACGGAATGTGCACATTCTAAAGCTTATATTTAATATGTTGATCTATTGATAATGTTTACTATTACTTGATGTAGGAATAAAATTTTTTTGAAAGGAGTGAGACTAAAAGAGCAGAATGTTAGACGGGCCTGCGTGCTCAATTCTTACCCTTTAAAAAAAAAAAAAGATGTTTGTTTGTTCGTTCTCTTCTCTTCCTACCTTTCATGCGCTCTTTTCCTTGTCATCTCACGTGAAACAATACAGATTGTGTTGTCCTGGTGTGAGCAGCCAGTCATGTTTGTCCATATTTCCAGGATGAAACAATACAGATTGTGTTGTCCTGGTGTCAGCAGCCAGTCATGTTTGTCCATATTTCCAGGCATCTTCATTAGTTAGGTTTCTTGTTTGCTGATAGCGTCCACTCTTCTCCAACAATTGCCCTTCTGCAGCTTTCTAATTTCTAACTAATCGTCTTACCGTCCCTGACTTTGAAAACCACACTTTTATGACATCGAAATTTAAAAACCCTACAAGTGACAGTGACGTCAAAAGTGACAGTGACGTCAACAGTGACAGTGACGTCAACAGTGACAGTAATGTAGAAGGGTTTAAAAAAACTAGAAGCTAAGAAAAAAATTCAAAGTCAGAAACAATTTCAAACAACTTCAAAGTTCAGCTAACATGAAATGAAACCTATACATGGCGCAGATTAAAAACCTCAGATGAAGAGCCCAGCTTTGTCTGAACAATAACTGCCGACGTCAGGCGAGACGAATCCCCACAGACACAGGCCCGAGCTCCCGTGGAGAGACAGCCAGCAGACTCGGGCAGCGTCAAATTGTTTGTGAAAAGACCAAACAACCTGCTGTCTGTTCTGTAAACATGGGAACGAGATTAGTCCGCCCACCTGCACGTGTATGAAATTGGTGCTTTTGTAACTACGCTGACGTCATTGCTTGTGTGTATATATATATATATATATATATATATATATATATATATATATATATATATATATATATATACATACATATATTTATCATCATCACTCCTGTGTGCCTTTATACGTCACACAGGGCCTCGTGGTCTAGTCTTCCACTCCGTGCAGTCCTGTGCAAGCCTATTACGCAAGTTTCTGTAGTAAACTTTTGTCTATATGGTACTGGCTCCATGCCGAACCCTTATCATTTTTCCTAAATACATATATAAAGTTGTAACAAAAAATGTATCTTAAGAACCGGAGAAAAAAAAAAAACCGATGGCTATTGTTTGACAGGCGAGTTACTTCCCTTGTGACATAAGGTCATGTGACTTCTGATGACTGGTGGCCTGATAATCCACAAGCATTTCCAGACCAATCGCCTGCATCTGTACAATGTTCTTTGTTTTGTTCTTTTTATTTCTTCTTTTTTTTTTTTTTTTTCTTTCTTTACAAAGAATTTTCCTAAAGTGTCCAAACACATCGCTATCAAATGAATGTTAACATGTTGATTTATTATAGAGATGTTATGGGTTCCATTTCTCCATGAAAGCCTCCATTTTTGCGACATACAGGAAGCATACAGGGCGGAGGGAGGATAGTTGCTGCGGTTTCTTTTCTTTTTTTTTTTTTTTCAAAATAATTTTTTAAGGGTGGAACTGGGCTCAAAAAGCCCACCTCTTGTTTAAGCGCGCAACAGTTACTATAACTATTATATGCTTAATGGTAAAAACAATATAGCAATTATATATTAGAAATTGTTAAAAAATTATAAAGAAGTACTTAAAAATAGACCGTCTATACACACACCTTGAAAGTGCACCCACAAAAGAAGACTGAAATTTCAATCTGGCTTGCTTTGTTTTCTTTACACGCAGATTTGGCATGATAGCGTCCTACCTGGCAGGTAAGCAGGCAATCAGCACCACTATGATGTCTTGTATGACCAGTTAGTCGCAGAGTTTTTATGTTAAAATAACATGCGAACATCAGCAATTTGGTGTCGTATGTAAAGTTTCTCAGTCAAGCCGACTTCGTCGATTTATGTAACCGCTAAATTTATTTTTGTAGTTGCCGACCTACATACCTATAGACACAGGCACGCAAGTACATAAAGAGACCACAACGAACGAACGAACGAACGACACACTATTGCCAAAGAGTTAAGAATTGGACACACAGGCCAGTCTAACATTTTACCCTTCTAGTCTCCCGTCTTTTCATACATCATTTCACTCATACATCAAGTAATATTAAACATGACCAACAGCAACAACATATTCAATACAGCCATTGTAATGTGCACATTTCTAGCTACAGTCAAAGAAACAGACGAGAAGGTAGGTAGGTACATACGTACGTAGGCATGAACACACAAGGGAAAAAAAAACACACATATATACACGTAACAATGACAGTCCGTACAGTATTTACAGCTGTAACAATGACAGTCTGTACAGTATTTACAGCTGTAACAATGACAGTCCGTACAGTATTTACAGCTGTAACAATGACAGTCCGTACAGTATTTACAGCTGTAACAATGACAGTCTGTACAGTATCTACAGCTGTACCAATGACAGTCCATACAGTATCTACAGCTGTAACAATGACAGTCCATACAGTATCTACAGCTGTACCAATGACAGTCCATACAGTATCTACAGCTGTAACAATGACAGACCGCACAGTATCTACAGCTGTAACAATGACTTCCATACAGTATCTACAGCTGTAACAATGACAGTCCATACAGTATCTACAGCTGTAACAATGACAATCCGTACAGTATCTACAGCTGTAACAATGACATCTGCACAGTATCTACAGCTGTAACAATGACAGTCCGTACAGTATCTACAGCTGTAACAATGACAGTCCGTACAGTATCTATAGCTGTAACAAAAGCAGCTCGCAAAGTATCTACAGCTGTAACAATGACAGTCCGTACAGTATCTACAGCTGTAACAATGACGGTCCGTACAGTATCTACAGCTGTAACAATGACAGTCCGTACAGTATCTACAGCTGTAACAATGACAGTCCGTACAGTATCTACAGCTGTAACAATGAGAGTCCACACAGTATCTACAGCTGTAACAATGACAGTCCGTACAGTATCTACAGCTTTAACAATGAGAGTCCACACAGTATCTACAGCTGTAACAATGACCGTCCGTACATTATCCACAGCTGTAACAATGACAGTCCGTACAGTATCTACAGCTGTAACAATGACAGTCCGTACAGTATCTACAACTTAACAATGACAGTCCGTACAGTATCTACAGCTGTAACAATGACAGTCCGTACAGTATCTACAGCTGTAACAATGACAGCCCGTACCGTATCTACAACTGTAACAAAAGCAGCTCGCAAAGTATCTACAGCTGTAACAATGACATCCGCACAGTATCTACAGCTGTAACAATGACAGTCCATACAGTATCTATAGCTGTAACAATGACAGTCCGCACAGTATCTACAGCTGTAACAATGACAGTCCGCACAGTATCTACGGCTGTAACAATGACATCCGCACAGTATCTACAGCTGTAACAATGACAGTCCGTACAGTATCTACAGCTGTAACAATGACAGTCCGTACAGTATCTATAGCTGTAACAAAAGCAACTCGCAAAGTATCTACAGCTGTAACAGTGACATCCGCATAGTATCTACAGCTGTAACAATGACAGTCCGTACAGTATCTACAGCTGTAACAATGACAGTCCGTACAGTATGTACAGCTGTAACAATGACAGTCCGTACAGTATCTATAGCTGTAACAAAAGCAGCTAGCAAAGTATCTACAGCTGTAACAATGACATCCGCATAGTATCTACAGCTGTAACAATGACAGTCCGTACAGTATCTACAGCTGTAACAATGACAGTCCGTACAGTATCTACAGCTGTAACAATGACAACAGCACAGTATCTACAGCTGTAACAATGACCGTCCGCACATTATCTACAGCTGTAACAATGACAGTCCGCACAGTATCTACAGCGGTAATAATGACAGTCCACACAGTATCTACAGCTGTGACAATGACAGCCCGCACAGTATCTACAGCTGTAACAATGACAGTCCGCACAGTATCTACAGTTGTAACAATGACAGTCCGCACATTATTTACAGTTGTAACAATGACAGTCCGCACAGTATCTACAGCTGTAACAATAAACAGTTTAACATGCTGTATACTCACACATTTTTAGTTGTTAGTATTTCTTTTGAAGACATCAATACAATTCATCGCCTATTTATATCGCAGTTATGGGATTTCTGGAATATCTCTAATAATCGCCAATGTTAAGATATACACATCGCAAACTCACCAACGTCAACTTGAGAATGTTAACACTCGCCAAAGTTAACATGTACAAATCATCAACTTCCTGAATAGTTCAAATGTTAACATGCAGAAGTCATTAACCTGTTGCACTTATCAAAGTTAACACGTCTGCTGACTTGTTAGACTGCGCCAGCACCGACCCCACCAATGGCATCAGCAGACGGCGTCCATGACTTTGTTTTAAAACCACACAGATTCAGGAAAACATTTGCATAAATAAATATTCATAAACTCGTTTATTCGCCACCCAGAACATGATTTGTGTGTGTGAGTATGTGCATGCGCGCGCAAGTGAATGTGTTTATGTGTGTGTGTGTGTGTGTGTGTGGGTGGGAGGGGGTATTTATTTGTGTGTGTGTAAGCGTGGTGTGTATATATGTTCCTGAGATTGCATATGTGCGTGTGTGTATGGGTGGGTGTGTTTGTAGATGTCAATGCGGAGGTGCATATGTGTGCTTGTGTGTGTGTGTTTATGTAGGCATGGGTGTATGCACGTGTGTGTGTATACTTGTGAGGGTGTGAGTGTGTATATTACATACGTGTGTGCATGAACGTGTGTATACGTGTATGTTTATAAGTGTATGATTTGAACATGTATAGATGTGTGTGTATGCGTGCATGACCGTACGCCCGTTCGTGCACGTAGCTCGCTAGTTAGCTACGGTCAGTATAGCCGGTCCCCTGTGACCGGAAACAACGATGCCTGTATCCAACCAGGAGACTGTACTCCACTAAAGCCTGACAGTTTTACCGGAAACAACGATGCCTGTATACAACCAGGAGATTGTACTCCACTAAAGACTGACAGTTTTACCGGAAACAGCGATGCCTGTATCCAACCAGGAGATTGTACTCCACTAAAGCCTGACAGTTTTACCTGTACTAACTGCTGCGCAACGCTTTTTAGACACTTCAAAGGCAATCAAAATTTTAAGGTAAAATTAACTTAGTATTGAATCTTCCAGCTGATGCCTATATCACCAATTTTTTTTTTTTTTTTTTACAGGGAAAAAACCAAACAAGTAAAAAATGTAGTAGAAATCTGTTTTAGTTGACATTGCTTACTTGTTCTTGTTTTTTATTAACGTGACTGTTCTCGTTGGTGTCTTCTGTAAAACATTAACTTGGTGCCTATGAAGATCGCATTCACAATTTTATTGTGGAACATGGTGCCTCTGCTTGTACATCATCATCATCATTTTGAATTGGCCAAATCCAACCGCTCCCCAGGGAATACTGGACAATTGTCTTCCTGGCAACTTCTTAGGTACCAGGAAGAAAGGTAATCACACATTTACCGTGTGCAATTGCAGGCAGTACATGTGTCATGGCAGAGCGTCTGTTCCTGGTCTGTCTGCCTGTCTGTCCCGCCATAATCCCCTATAGCTTACCCACATCACGAACTTGCAGTTGTCACATTAAAGAATTATCTGCGCTCTCTCCGGCAGCGCCCGGTCACACACAAGTGATTCATAGTTCCAGCCCTCTCATCTTCAAGTGTTGTGCAGCCAGGCACCAGTGACTACTATCTCCAAGAGCCCACCGTTTCTAACAAAACCTGGCCACCAGAGCTCCCTGACCAGCATACAAATGCGTTCTTGTTTTCGGGTCAAGTTAGCGTCCTTTTTAGGATGAAATTTTTCGTTATTTGAAGCCCCACCCTGGCTCTTGCCAGGGGCCGCAATATACCCAGGCCATACATAAGGCCTAAAAATGGACGCTAGACAGCAGCGCTGTTTCTAGGACCTCACATTTTTTTGCTCCTCATGCCGGGCACTTTTGTGGCCGAAATAGGTTAGTGTTTATCTCCATTTGTAGACTGGATATAGTTTCAGTCGTGTCAAGCTTCTGAGTAACCTGAAAAGTGCCCATGTCGATGACCCTAAAGTGAGCCATGCGGATTGCATTTGGACATTCCGTATTTTCGACTGTGTCCAATGTGGTGGTGTGAATTGTAGATTCAGAAAATGGCGTGATGCCTGTCCTGCAATGTTGGCGGTAACCGTCAATAGCTAGTTAAAATTGATTTGCGTAGGACAACTGCTGAACACTGTTTTAGACATTTAGTGTCTGCTATCGTCAATGATGAGAATTTCATTTTGAATGTTTGACTGTTTGAGTTAGCACTTTATAATAGCTTGCAGCCGTATGGTTCTTTAATGCGAGTGTCCAGCTAGTAATGCTGAGACAGCAGTAGTGTCTAAAAAGGACAAGGGGGGGTGGGGGGGTTTAAACCTGACTTCTGGGGATGTCCCGTTTTTCGTTGTCACAGGAGCGGAGCAAAGATGCTTTGACTTCTTGCTACTTGAAGCTGAAACTAAGACTGTATTCCAGACCAGAACCATATGGCCTAAACGGCTTAACGAGGTTTTTATGGGATTTTAAATAACGTATGATTCTCATTTTACTTTCAGAAGATGGTGGCACATTGTGTCATCGGGTGTTTATCGCTTGTGTGATGTCCTGTTGTCCTGATATTAAGTTTACTGGCACACGCACTTGTCTCAAAATAAAATTGACTGCAGGCATGCAACGCATAATTGAATTATATGTTTCTAGTAGTGGTGGTGGTAGTAGTAATAGTCGTAGGCGCTGTCGCAACAGTATCGGCAGCACCAAAACGGTAGTAGTAGCAGCAGTAGAACAGCAGCATCAGCAGCACCAACAACAGTAGCAGCAGTAATAAAAGAAATAGCAGCATTAGTACCAACAACAGTAGAAGTAGTAGTATCAGCCCAGCACCAACAACCCCCCCGCAAGCAAAAAAAAAAGTAGCGGTGATGATTAATTTTGGACCACTGACTGATTATGAATAGCGGGGTACCCCCCCCCCCCCCCCCCCCCAAAAAAAAAAACGGTTCCCCCCCCACCCCCTCCCAAAAAAAAAATCAATGCATATCATGTGTTAGTGTGGTTATACATGGAAAGTTCCCGCCAATCTCCAAAGCACAAACTGGCTGTACCTTAAACAAAGCGTATGTAATCACACGTGCAACAGCGCTCTTGTTGTGGCTCTGTATGTGTTCTCTTTTTCTCCCTCGCCCTGTCGCTCTAGCTGCAGTATGTTTCATAGGCTCCGTAAACTCACAACAGTTTTACCCAAACGCATAGTTCCCGGAGATAGCATAGACAAACATGGCCGGTGTTAGCAGCAGAGAAACATGAGTCTTCTTTAGTTCTTGACTTCTCGTGTTCGTGTTGTTTACAATGTGTGTTTCGTAACTAGGTTCCCCACACAGATCTGACGTTAATATATTGTCAGGTGGCTCCTGTCCTTCAAGTGCCAGACACGCCAACACACAACAAACCAGTCCAGAAAAATTAGTAACTATGGAAATGATATGTTTGAGGAAGGTTGCAGGAGTGACCAGAGGATAAAAAGTCAGGATAAAGGCAAAAGAGAACAAAGACAACCATTACTAAACGACATACCAAACAGTAAATAAAATGGTTGGCCCCTTAAAGAGAATGCCACGTGATGCTTGACTGTACAAGTTAATTAGTTGCATATCGTGTACAGGACTTAGCTAAACCAACTTCTTCTTCTTCTGCATTTCTATCCCCCAATGGAGCATAGGCCCTCAACTCAAGCCAAGTCGATCTATCCTTCGCCATTACACAAGCTCTCGCCCATGTCCTCCCAATCTTTCTTACTTCATTCTCCAGCTCTCTACTCCATTTTTTGGGACCTTCCTTTATGCCTATGCCCCTGTGGGTTCCAATGCAAAGATATTCTAGTTATGCTGTTCTCTTGTTTTCTCAGTGTGTGTCATATCCAACGCCAGCGTCTTTTCCTCACCTCTTGTACCACTGGAATTTGTTTAGTTCTCTCCCACAGTTCTACATTAGTTATTCTATCATACCATTGAATTCCCTCTATTCTGCAAAGGCACCAGGTAATGA